GAAATTCATTGCTTAAAATGTCAAAATAGTACAGGTTCTCAGCATCAAATACAAAATGTTCCATTCTTTAGGTACACATTTGTTTTTTAATTGATACATTGATCATTTTTTAACATTTTACTAGGTATTTGTTTTTCTTTCATGGAGGTAATATGTATCTACCTCATTTGTAACCTTGGCATCCCTATCTTCCATTATGATGGAGGATTAAGAAAGAAACCCTGTTGAAACAGACGAACTCCAAAAAGCATTGCTACCATTCGCCATTCGTCTGAAAACAGGCAAAGTGAATACAGTACTATTTTAAAAGGCCTGGAGCTGTTAAACACATCATAAGAAACCAGAAGGCATGTGTTTCGAGGCAGCAGGCTTGGTTTTGAGGAAAGCTAAAAAAAGGAGGAAATTCAACCAAGCAAACAAATAGCAAAATTCTGATATAAGACAGATGGTAAGGCCATCTTCACAAAGTGATATAAAACCCAGGCTTTTGCAATACCTATGGAAATGTTAGTCCATTCCAATTTAGTTTATTCTTTTAGTCTCAGTCCTGAGTAAATGTACTGCTCTCAAGCCACAGGTTAACTTAACGTCATGTCCTCAAAGACGTGCTTTGTCTAACAGTTCTTTACCTGTTCTGAGAGTATCTTTCACTGCAAAGAAGGCATATATTCCTTTTACGCAGCCTTCTCTATTATCAAGAAAAACAAAGTTAAAATTTTTGGCTCTCTATGTAATTGAACTCTGAACTCTAATTTTTCCAATCTTAAATGTATATGGAGTAAAATAAAGTCTATTAAGACTATCCTCTGCCACATATGCTGAAAGAGACTATCATGTTAAAAAGTAACCGTTATATATCAAGGGATAATATTTTATTAACAAACATATGATTTTCATCATTCACAAGATGCTTATCTAAACAGTGCAGTAAACTGAAGGTCAAATGGCTAATATTTCTAATACAAAACTAATGACATCATCCATGAGGGAGACTGTTCAGGATTTATCTTCAAAGATGGCATCTGATGATTCTTACCTCTTGATACTCATGTCCCTGTGTTGCCCCTCCCACACAGAATAGGGTCACCCTGTGTAACCAATAAGATACTGCAGAAATGACACAGCACGACCCTGAGTCTAACTTACCAACAATTTCTATCTACCTTGCTCTCTCTTGGATCACTCATCCTGGGGGAAGTCAACTGCCACATTGTAAAGACAGTCAAGCAGCTCTGTGAGCAGGTCCATGTGGGATTAACTGAGGCCTTCTGACAATAGTCGGCACTAACTTGCCAGGCACATGAGCAAGCCACCGTGGAGGCAGCTCCTCCAGCTCCAGTCGAGTCTTCCAAGGACCAGTGCCAGGTAGCATGTGACTGCAGCCTGCTGAGCCACCCTGAGCTCTACCTGTCCAGACAAGTGGCTCCCGGATGCCTGACCCACAGATTCTGTATGAAGTAATAAATGCTTCCATATAAGCCTCTAAGTTTTGGCTTAATTTGTTACTCGGCAATAGATAAATAATCAAGGCAGTATACGCAGGAAGGGGCCCAGCCTAGAGGCTGACAAAGCCACAGCGTGTGTCCTGATGGCATCTTCACACAGAGTGCTCTTGGATAGGTCAAGTCTCTTGTGTTTCACTTTGTGATAAGTAAATTGAGGATAATGAATTGTACCTCATGGAGGTCTAAAGAATAAATGAGATAAAATAAATGAGATAAAAATCACTGAAAAGTGGTTTGTCCTCAGTATTTGTTTTTTTCTTGTTTTAAAATTGGGCTTAGTTGTTTTTTCTTTTTTAAGGTTTTCAAGCAGATTATTCCCAGTACACAGAAATGGATTTTATAGGATGAGAAGAACCGTAGACAGAAATAAGCCCAGGAATATTCAGGGATTGCTTCTCTTTAATTTTATTGGTTTGGTTTACTTCTTATATTTATTTGAATAAAGACCTGCTTTTAAAGATCTTGACTTAAGAGAGATGAGTTTTTACAAACATTCCCTTAAGAGAGCAAGTTATTTTTGAATGTTTTTGTAAGCCCGAAGTATAAAAGATCTCTAGGAAATAAAACTCCTGATCTTATAAAAACTCTGCTCTACTCTGACAAGGTCTCTTGATAGCTTCATGTTCCCTTAGCAACCTTAAGGTCAAGAAAACTACTTGGAGGCATTCCGTATCTGTTTCTTCTCTGTGTGTCTACCCTCACTCCATTATTTCTGTGTCTCTGACTAAACAAATCGGGAAATTATAAGTGAGTGTTTGTATGTATAGTCTTTTATTTTGCTAATTCATAAATGACCTACAATGCCTTTACCCTTGGCTTTTAACATTGACATTTCAAATCATTCTTGATAGACTCTGAAGTACCCTGATCTATACTAGGTGGTGTAGTATAAGTGTTAAATCCACAGATTCTGCATGAAGATTTATAGGACTTTTTGAGTTCAAATCCTAGCTCTACCATTAACTTTATGAACTTGTGCAAGTTACTTAAAACCACTCTGTACTTTGATTTTCCCTAAGCAAAAGGTGAGAATAATAACAGTATCTACATTTATAGGTTTTTTGTGAATATAAAATGTTAATATTAATAATTTAGAATGGTGCCTGTCAAACAGCAGGTAACTGTTACATCGATAGCTTTTCATGTTAATGAGATAAATACCGAGCAGCCTGGGCCCTGAAGGTAGCATGGTAGTCACTTAGTGAGTATAGCAACAATTAATTCAGCAACCAGAATCCTTCTCACTCTTACCCCATACATATACTCAGTATGCTTTATTATAGCTTTGAGATGGATTTGTATGTTCTAGTGGTATATGAAAGTTTGGATATTTCTTTAGCTATAACCCTAAAAAGTGATAAATGTACATTTCACTCTGAAATGAAAATATGTTTGCCTTTGACAAATGCATTTGATTTTCACAGCTTCTAGATTTTCTCCAGGTATGTGAATGTGTTGGGGAGGAGCAATGATTGAGGAGGATCAATCTACCTTTTTTTAGCAGTGATTCTAAACTCCTTTGAAAATCTCATAACAGCTATGTTCTATCTCCATCTCCCTAGTAGGAAAAAAAATCATTGAAGCTATGACTATGGACACAAATTGTCCCTTTGCTGTATTTGCTATAGGCAAAGAAAGTGGACTGAGGATTATTGTAGCCTTTTGTGACAATGCCTGCTGAATCTAGGAAAGAGGAAGAGCAAAAATAAAAAAATCAGGATATCACAAAATAGCGGAAACAAAATGGACCTTAACAAAAGAGTTTCCACTTGTACTACTAAGAATAATTATGTTTCTTAGCTTTTAAGAGAGGTATGACACAGATTCAAAAGTTCACATCATTATTTAAACTGTACTTCCTGGAGAACCAAGGATGTAGGGGGCTGGGGCACCTGCAAGGGAGTCCTAATGGAAGAGAGGGCTCTGAACAGGGAGAAGTGAGGCTCCACTCATCTACCAGAGAAGAGCAGCTTTCAGAGATATTACTTTCTGGGCTTCTAAATTAGATTGTATTTGAGCTACAGATTTCATAAGTTTCAGAAGACTGAGAACCACTCTTCCAGATGTTTGTCCACATTAATGATTACAAACTGGAAACATCTCAACCTGGATTATCAGAAACTGAGAAATGTTCATATGGGCAGATATACAATCTTGCAATGTGGGGATAACGGTGACCATGGACAAGTTTATCTATGTACGTAAAAACATGGGGGCTACCAAAAAGCCACAAAGGGGCAGATTTGGAATCAGTGAAAGTATTAGTTAGTAAAAAGAAATAAAGATTGAACATCCCAAATTGCAGAAGAAATTGCATATAAAATAGCTGCAAAATAATTTAGGTAATACCAGAGTCGGTTACTCAGAAAAGTGGGACAGTTAATGGGGATATACTTTTTTACTGAGGCTGATGTTGAAAAGGGAGGATATCTTCCACACATCCTCTTTTGATTACAGTTCAAGAAAAAATGTGCCTGCTTATGTTACACTCATTCTCATCCATTATGGCAATATTTAAATTCTTATTTGATTTCACCAGTTTTCTGTTCAGACATTTAGCTGAAATTAGTTATGAGACACAGAACAAGTAAGGAAACCCCATAAATATATTTTGGACCATTAAAAATTGCCAGTATTCGCTTTTTTAACTAAAAAATGGCAATTGCATATGGTCCAACCTAACATTTTCTTGAATAATTCCTCCCTAATTTTTATGGAAAAAAAGTATAAATACCATCACCTCTGCATTACATCTTTCCGTTAACCCACAGGTGCTCAATGCTTCTTTGACAGCTTGGCAAGAGCAGCTGAAGAGGTTTGAATGAAATACTGGTTGAAAGTACAGAGAGAGTAGTCAAGTCTTGTCTTCTTCCCTCATTCAACAACTCTAGCTGAGGCTTTCTGTGGCTTCTCAAAGTAACAATAATGAAGAACTGAAGTTAGAGTAGCCCTAAAATTTCATTAGTTAGTTTTTAACCATGTACCTTATCTCTTCTACAGCCCCTATAGTGGCAGAATATCTAAAACACAGTGTTCTACAAAACAAATGTTAAAATGTCTAGTGGGAGAGTAAGCGGGTGAAAGGGTTGAGGCTTATCAAGGAAGCCAGGCAGCGGCCGCAGCTTTGATTGCTTTTGGAGTGCACTCATGGAAACTGCGCCCCAGTCTTTCAAGAGCTGGTTTACTTCCCATGTAAACATGGCTGCCAGCAAGAGCAATAGGGTGCTGGCTTGGAAGGCAAGAGAAAAACTAAAATGCATCAGTCATGGGGGATTTGCAGGCATTTCTGAGATCATATGAACCAAAGTTGACATTTCTTCTTGATGTTGTTATCTACTCATCCCTCCCACGTGGGCCCCTTCAGTTTGCCTAACTGTGAGGAGGCTGCTGAGAATCATTCAAGCCAGTTAAAGAAACTGCTTAAGGTAGGTATCTGAAACACAAACACATTAGCTTAAAGTGCTTGAAACACAGTAGTAATCACAAAGTCCTTACTTCTTCTCTCCTTTGTACCATTCAAAGGCCGGAGGCGGCACACCTGCTCCTTCACATCTGATCAGTCCACTGCGTCCAGGGGCCACTGTGCCAGATTTAATTTCCTGAATTGTAGGAGCAACTGAAAAAGAAACAAAGAAACTGGTGGGTAAGTAAAAATAATCTTCAGCAGAAATATAACACACATATATTTTTATTCCTTCTATATTCAAAGCAATCTTACACCTCATATGCCAATGCATCATATCTTCAGTATTTTATGCTTCTAATACAGGACCAGTCATTTTCAGCTTCATTTTTCACATTGGACAATAGATGAATGTTCCCAGGGAGTACAGAGTAAATGCAATACATTCTGGCCTTGCTTCCTATTGGAAAAATGGCATTTTTGAGGGGAACACTTCATCTGTACTCCAGTCAAACTACACTCCAATAATAACACATTTATTGAGTGATCACTGGGAGCCAGTCACCGGGCTAGGAGCTTCATATTCATGATTTCCTCACAGTAATACTCTAAGCTATAAGGCATTACCCTATTTTACAAATGTGAAAACTAAAGCTCAGAGAGGTTAAATAATTTGTTTAAGGTCGCACAGCTACTCAGCTGCAGAATTTGGATGTGATGTCAGACATATTGATGCAAAACCTGAGCTTTCAATATTCTGCTTTTCCTTGCCTACTCCCTATGCTTCAGGACTAGCAATTTTCTTATGTTGTTACTTCTACCTGGAATGCCATTCTTCTCCATTTGCATAGGTTCAAGGTCGAATTTAGGTGTCACCATCTCCATACTCTACCCTGTGGCTGAAATACCTATCCCTTCTCTGAGTAGTTTACATAAATCTCTCATACCATTCACTTTCTATGTTATATTGTAATTATTTATAGGTATGTCAGCTGCCTGAAGGCAGGGTATCTGATCCATCTTTGCATATTCAAAGATCAAAGCACAGTGACTGGCACAAAATGATGCTCAAAAAGCTTCTTTGTACCACAAAGCAATTTAACTCCCTTGACATTGTAAGTCTGGGAAGAGGAAATCCTGGAGCAAAATACCTCTAAAAACTGAAATCAGTCAAAGGGAGAAATAAGTTTAAAATCTATTTATTGCTTACAAACTGCAGTCCAGGACTGTCTTTCTCCTCTGCTCTAGAAGAATCCCTCCCCTTAACCTCTCAGGTTCAGACATGCCCTCAGTTACCCAGATAATTACTCATTGACATGACTCTTGCCACCCCTGAGGATATGCAAATGTACTAAAGCCATACTTCTTTCCACCTCTGAATGCCTATTGATATGCAGATGCACTAAAGGCAGGTGAGATATTCTGGAAATATTACAATTTTACCTACAGGCCACCCCTCTAGAAATCTTCCTTATAATTTACTTGTTCCCCCTCTTTCAATCAAACTAATGACATAAAATAGCAACAGCAATAAAATCATGATAATCCTCAAGCCAGAAGACTCATCCTATGCAGATTAAGTGAATGTACTTTACAGCACAATCTCTTACTAAGCACAAAATATGTTTCTTTACTTGTTTACTCATTCCTAACAACCATGCTAGATTGCTCACAAAAATTTTACCAAACATTAGACAAAGATAAGCCTTTCTTTAAGCAGTTTTTTTTTCACAACAGCAACATAATCATGATAATTCTTAAGCCAGAGAATTCAGCTAGGTTCAAAGTCCCATGTAGATTAAGTCCAAAGCTTGTCCATTCCAGCCATCATGCAGCAGCTGCAGCCAGGGGGCGCATCCAGGACACAAGGATTGTAGAAGCAAATAACTGTGATTTTGGGGGACCACTTTGCTGTTATTCCAAGAATACACAAGAGGCCAGCTTCCAGGCCTTTTCCTCAAGGTGCCAGAAGAGCCAGCTATCACCGATCCATATGTTGAAATGTCCAAGGCCACGTCCATTTTATTCCTAATCGTTGCACCCATCCTTGCAATTCATGTTCAATAAAGTGGGTGCTTTGATCACTCTAAATCACCTGTGGCCTGCCATAGGCTGCAAAGAGATGCTATAGGCCCATCTTGGTGGTTTGCTGATCTGCAGAATGTGCAGGGCACTCCTGGGCTCAGCTGACTTCTTCAAAGGTCAATGGCAAGCCCACCAATGGGCTACAGCCCACATTGTCTTTTGCCCATGTGCAACAAACACTGATGTAACCATTGGACCACTTCAGAGGCAGACTTTCCTTCTAGTCAGCACACCTGGGCCAATGTGTCTGCTTCATCATTCCCTTGGGATGCCAAAGGCAAAATGACCAGTCACATGATATATGGTAGGTGTTTGTGCCACACCACTCCATGGCCTTTGGGTCCAGTCTCTCAGCCACCCCATGATGGGATAGGTGTTCCTATCTTTGTCAGAGCTCTTCTGGAAATGAGCTCCATAGCCAGCAAGGTGTGGTACACAGCAGCCAGTTGCTGCTCTATCAAGGTGACCCAGACCTCTGCTCCTTTCATGGTTGTGTCCAGGCTCCGTTTGGCAGCAGGAGCAGTGGCAGTGGCAGCAGCAGTAGCCTTAGGCTCAGACCATGGGCTGGGGATGGCATGGCCAGCAATGGTGGCGGTGCCTCCACGACCCCATGAGTGTAGACACATGTCCCTTGGCATAAGCGCCACTTCTCCCCATCATTTCCTAGGGCGGCCCTCCCAAAGGTCATACCCATTATAACAGATTTTGGGTTTAGAGGAATACTGCCAACTATGCCAGATGTAAGTTTGAGGAGAGGAAATCCTGGGACAAAATACCTCTAAAAACCGAAATCAGTCAAAGGGAGAAATAAAGTTTAAAACCCATTTATTGCTTACAAACTTCAGTCCAGGGCCCTCTTTCTCCTGTGCTCTGAAAGAAGCCCTCCCCTTAACCTCTCAGGTTCAGACATGCCCTTGGTTGCCCAGGTAATTACCCATTGACATGGAGATGAACTTCTCTCCATCCCTGAGGATATGCAAATGCACTAAAGCCATATTTCTTTCCACCTCTGAATGCACACAGGAAGAGTATCATACTGGGTGTTAACAAGCAGGGTTTCTATGCAGATATACTAAAGCCAGGTGGCACCATCTCCATACTCTACAATTTTACCCACAACATGATGAAGCTTACATTTTAGGTGGGGTGGGGAATGGGAGACATACTGCAAACAGTAAGTAAAATAAATAAGTAATTTAAATATAGTGTTATAAGATGGTATGATATATGCTAAAAATAATAATAATTATAGCAAGGTAAGAGAAATTAGAGCAAGAGATGAATTGCCATTTTCTTTAGGGTATTCTGGATGCAGATGAGTAAGTTTGCTATATGGGTTATCTAGAGAAAGCCTTCCAGGAAGCCGGAACAGCTTGCAGTAAAGGCCGAGGCTGAAGCAAGCCTTGTTTGAGAAATACCAAGCAGATCAGTATGGCCAGAACAAAGAGAAAGAAGGGAGAATTGCAGGAGATGAATGATGGTTAATTTTATGTCAACTTCCCTGGGTCACAGATTGTCCTGATATTTGCTGAACATTATTTCTGGGTGTGTCTGTAAGGGTGTTTCTAAATGCAATTAGCATTTGAATCAGTCTATTCAGTAAAGTACATTCTCCCTTCCAATGTGGGTTCACATCATAGGCTCTGTTGAAGGCCTGAATAGAACAAAAGGCAGAGGAAGGGAGAAGTCACCTCTTTGTCTGACTGCCTGAGCTAAGACATCAGTCTTCTCCTAACCTCAGACTGAGATTTATACCTCTGGGTCCCCTGGTTCTCAGGACTTAAGACTCAAATCGACCTACACGATCAGCTTTCCTGTGTCTCTGGCTTGCAGACAGTAGTTTGTGGGCCATCTCAGCCTGAATAATCAAGTAAGCTAATTCCTCATAATATAATCCATATGTGTGTGTGCACGTGTGTATGTGTAGGTATGTATAAATATAGATGTGTGTACATAGATAGATACACAAATGTGCATGTATATATCTATATAGTACTATAGATATGTGTACATACATACATTATTAATTCTGTTTCCTGGCAAATCCTAATACATGGGGTCAAAGGATGGAAGATAAATAGGACTTTGAGGGCCATTTTAAGGACTTGGCTTTTACTCTGAGTGAAATGATGAACCACTATAGAAGAGGGATAGAATCTGACTTTTATTTTGAAGGTATCACTCTAGCTGCTATGCTGAGAGAAGGCCATGGCAAGACCAGGATGAAAGCTGAGGACTAGTAGGACGTATGTTCCGAGCAAGGAAGTGATGCTGGCACCTCAGATTAGTGTGGCACCACTGAACATAGTGGAAACTGATTGGATTTGGGGTCTGTCATGAAGCTGGAGCCAAGAGGATTTCTTGACAGATATATAAAAAAGGAGGAGTCCAGGGTGACTTGATTTGGTATAACTGGAAGGTTGGAGTACCTGACTGAGATGGGGAAGACTGTAAGTTGATGAGTTTTGTAGAGAAACTTTATGAGCTGCATGCATGTATCATTTTTTTAATAGACCATTTATTTAGAGCAGCTTTAAGTTCACACGAAATTAAGCAGAAGGTAGAGAAATTTCTTATATACTCCTTACTCCAGTACATGCACAGACTCTCCATTACCAACATCCCCTACTAGAGTGGTACATTTGCTACGATTGATGGACCTACAGTGACACATTACTATAGCCTGAAGCCCATAATTTACATTAGGGTACTCTTGGTGTTACATATTCTGTGGGTTTGGAAAAAAGCATAGTGGCATATATCCATCATTATAAAGTATTTACACTGCCCTAAAAATCCTCTGTGTTCTGCCTTTTCATTTCTACCACCCCTGGTAGCCACTGATGATCTTACTGTCTCCACAGTCTTGCCTTTTCCAGGATGTTATGAAGTTGGAATCATACAGTACACAACCCTTCCAGATTGACTTCTTTCATTTAGGAATATACATTTAAGGTCCCTCATGTCTTTTTAGCACTGAATAATATTCCATTATCTGAATGTACCACAGTTTACTTATCCATTCACCAACTGAAGAAGTTCTTGGTTGCTTCTAAGCATTAGCAATCATAAACAAATCTGCTATAAAATCTATGTGCTGGAGGGGAAGGCAGTATAGCACAGAGTGT